GAAAGGATTGATGAGATTAATGATGAGACTAGCAGTTCTGTCTCTGCTTCTTAATCTTCAAATGCCCTCGCCCAATAAGTTTGTGTGGAGGGTAGTGATTACAAATGAGTTATGGTGGCAACCAATTTAGTAATTACAAATTAAATTTATATGATTTAAAGAACCCAATCTATGGTCTGAGAGAATTTTGAGCTTATAGACAGAGCACGTAAGTGCATCTAATTAATCAGAGATTTTAAACATGATGAAGTTGGGTAACCACTCAAAATATAAAATAGAATTGTATTCTTATTATATAACAGAAAAAAAAATCCAAATTAAATTAAGTAGAAAAAAAAATGGAAGAACTCTTTAATGATTTCAGAATAAAGAGGATTTACTAAAATACAACGGAGATCCAAAAGTTATAAAAATATAATAAAATGATGGAATTTTTAATACAAATGTAGATTAATGGCAAATAAAACAGAAACACAAGATGAAGAGTTGCAAAAAGATACTGCCACCATTCATATTGTGGACAATGAACTAAATACAAACACAAAATAAAATAGTTGGAAAATAGTCAGAGGGTATGAGGAAATTGTTCACAAAAAGTGAGTTAAAATATTTTAATCTCATTCACAATAAAATAAATAAATAAATAAATATACATATATAGTAAGGATATTTCTGAGTAGATATATGTATGTATATCTACTCAGAAATATAATTATTTAAATTAAAATACACACACATATACACACCCACATCCATACACACACATCTATTTTAACCTTACAGGCAAAAATTCTGAAAGATTAAAAATATTTTGTTGGGGCCCTCCCTAGTGGTGTGACAGGTTAAAACACAGCACTATGAAACTATTGTAGCCACTGAAGCATGAGCTTGATTCCTGGCCTTGGGGGTGACCCACATGGCATGGCAGACCTCTCCTGATGCGACGGGATGACCCACTGCTCCCCTCAGCAGTGTATTTCAGTAGCTCTGCCTGTTCTGCTCCCCACTTTGTCACTGGTGAATCCTTTCATCCCCTGAACCTCTGGCCTGTACCCCAGTTCTTTATGCATAAATAAATAAATTATATATATATATATATATATATATATATATATATATATATAGAGAGAGAGAGAGAGAGAGAGAGAGAGTTGTTGACTATCTGTGGAGAGAAAGCACCCTCATAAGTTACTAGTAATGCTTTAAATAGTATGGATTTTACAGAGGACATTGGCTGTCAAATTAGCAAATGTGAAAATCTTTGACTACCAGTTCCTTATTTAAAAATGTGTACAACAGTGATGGTAGCATATATATAAACATGTACTCTACAGATGAACTATTTTATGAGTTTCAAGTATTAACAGTAGAAATCCTGAATATCTGATTAAGAAATTAGTTTAAAAATATGTGTGTGTGTGTGTGTGTGTGTGTGTGTCCGTCCATGTTTATTTCAGTGGAATACAAAATAGCTTTATAAGACAAGTTTGGGAGGATTTTTTTTTTTAAAGATTCATTTATTAATTTATACATACAGAACTGGAGTACAGGTCAGAGGCACAGGGGTGGTGAGAGGATTCAGCAGAGGCAGTGGGGAGCTGAACAGTCAGATCAGTGAAATTCATTGTTGAGGGGAACAGGGGGCAGGTTAGGAGAGGTCTGCTGTGCCATGTGGGTCACCTTCTGGCCGGGGGCTGGGATGGAACTTGCACTGAACCAGCTGTGGCTAATTTGCAGTGCTGCATTTTAACCCGCTGTGACACCAGGGAGGGCTGGGCAGAAAATTATTAATAAATCAAAAATATTAAATATTTTATTATAATTGTGATTAATAACGGTTCTATTAAAGAACTCAATTTAAATAAATAAGTGGTGATGGAGGTGTGCTGATGTGACTTTTTTCATTTTGTGGCTTGTAGTGATTTTTATATTTCATGTATTAATGTTTTGGACTCATATTAATAACTGATTGTCATATGCCCTTTCACTTTCCCTTTTTAAAAACATTGAGATACACATCAGAAAGCACAAACTAATATTAAATATTTTTTAGTTATTACTTAGAATAAATAAAAAGAAGGCACACTGTTTCTTAGCTCTCGAAAATGTTTTATTTTATAAATAAAAGTTGTGTGTATGCATGATGATGAGAGAGAGAGAGGTAGAGGTGTTCTTTTTTATCTATCTCATGACTAGTAACACTTTTCACCCAGCTGCTGAGGACAGACTTAGAAATTATTTCCTTTGTTATCTCCAGACCCAATATCAAAGTGACAGAAGCCTCCATATGGTAACACCTTGCCATCACTTAGAAACCCATTCATCCCCGTCCCATGTTCTCTTTATCTCACTCCCTTTGTCCCCTATCTAGATAACTGTCAGCATAATGGCCAGCTTTATCTCCTAACCAAATTCTCATACTGCTAAAAGAAAAAAAAAAATTGAATTTCAATTTCAATCTGAGTTAGTAATTACATGCTTACTAACTGGCCAATGGCTCCTAAGCCTTAAAGGTAAATTAAAATCTGGAAGCAGCATACTGGTTCTGGATGGTATAAGCCAGATCTGTGTGTCATGGCGTTCCTTGCATGGTGTCCCTCCACTTCCTCTCCCTGCTGTCTACTGGCTTCAGACAATGCTCCTCCTTCTGCCCAAATCTCAGATCTGTGGCTTCTCTGTACACCCCCCAACCCCCCAACCCGGACGCGTGCGCGCACTCGCGTGCGCGCGCGCGCGCACACACACACACACACACAGAGCATCCTGTCTGCTGGTCCTGACCTGCAGGTGCACCTCTTATCAGTTTATTTACTGAGAAACTCCACAGCAAGACCTTCAGAGAGGGGAGTGTGCTTTTAACTCTGTGGCGCCTTTATCTCATTTATATATTAACTGTCACTGGCACTGCAGCCAGCACAGGGTGATATCAGTAACTTTTTTTTTGGAAGGAAGGAAGAAAATGAGTAGCAAGAGAAAAAAGAGAGGGAGGGATGGAGAAAGAAAAATAAATATGTTAACCTTTTATCATAATTTGACAAATTACGAGAACTCAAAAGTTGTGGAATAATAAACAATGAATACGTCAATCAAATAAAGTTAGTTATGAATTCACCAGCTCTAATCTTTCAATTATAATAAGTTTGCAGTCCTGCCCCCACCCCCTATGAGGCAAGATGTATTATTCAAAGAGGAAGCAGTGAGGTAGGGCCATAATGGAGGTGGGAGTAGCAGGCTGCAGGGGAAATGGCGGCTCCAGCCCCCTTAATGTCACTCTGTCAAGAAGGCTGTTGCAGCCGTTCTGGTAAAACACATCTTAGGCAAGAGGGAGAGACATTTAGCTCTGAGTTCCTAGGAGGACTAAATATATAAAATTATTCCCAAAAGTCAAAGTGTTTATATAAGTAATAATTAGCTGAATTTAACTGTTCATTTTGCTAAATCTGAAAGGAAAGAAAAGCTCTATTTTATTTTATTTTTTTTAATAAAAGAATACAAGCAGGGACTTCCATAAAATTGGAGGAGAGGCAGAGAAGGGAAGAAGGAAAGCCAGGCAGACTTGGTTGAAAAATGTACTTTCTACCTGTACCTCTCAAATTGTCCTAGGTGTTTTCCCTCAGCTCAACTTTTGCTGTATCAAGACAAAACCAGGTCCTGTGTCAACCCAAGAAAAATAATTAGACTGCCAATTAATAATCAAAAGACCATTTTTTCAGAATAGAAACCCTGAGTTCATGACTAAGTTCATGACTAAGATCAGTTCCAAGATACACCTCATCAGGATACTGGCAGAGAGGAGTTTTAAAGGATCAGGCAGGGAAACGGTCTCAGTTTAGGTCATTTGTGATGAAAATATTTAGGTTGGTTCTGAAGTCCATCTGTTTGTCCACGACTGGTGTTCAGTCTTCTAACAGATGGCTGCTATGTGGGGTCAGTTGACATGATCAGCAGTGATCTCATTTTATATTAGTGACTGAATGGCTGAGTCAGGCTGTTTAATTTCCACCTAGAAGGCTCAGCATGGCATCTTAGAGACAAGATGGAGTTTCATTTGATTCATAACAGGTTGATTCCACATATGATCAGAGAAAAAAGATACAGAGGACCTGGATTCAAACCCTAACTGCACTAAGCCTTAGATTCGTTGTTTGTGAAATACAAACAATTTCTCAGAGGTTTAAAGATGGAGACCATAAAATTCCTGACTTACATGCCAATGCACTTCAAAATGGCAGCTGAAATAGTTGTTTGTTTACCCTTGCCCAGACTGACCTAAACTTAGGATACCCATTGTTTTCCCATTGTTTTACCCATTGTTTTTTTTTTTTTATTTCAATATTCATACTTCTTCTGAAAGATAACTCAAGATCAACTTTCTCAGCTCAAAGGCAAAGAATATTATTCTTTTTTTTAAAGGTTTATTTATTTATGCATACAGAACTGGGGTACAGGCCAGAGGTGCAGGGGTGGTGAGAGGCTTCACCACAGACAGAGTGGGGAGCAGAACAGGCAGATCATTGAAGTACACTGCTGAGGGGAGCAGCAGGCGGGTCAGGAGAGGTTTGCCACACCATGTGGTCACCTCCTGGGCAGGCGGGGATCGAACTCATGCTGTAGTAGCTTTAGTTTCTTAGTGCTGTGCTTTAACCTGTTGCGCCACCAGGGAGGGCTAAGAATGAGTATTATTCTAATGTGATAACCCCTATTTTCAATATTACTAATTTAGCCATCACATAGATTTTCTTTTATTATTGTTCAAGTATTCAAAATGTCACTTCATGACTAGAAGTGAAAGTGTGTATCAATTCATCCTAGAAGTTATAGTCAAAACTTGTTTTTCCTAAAAACAAAACAAAACCTTGCTTTTCTTCCTCAAGTTCAGCACTGTTCTGGACCTGCCCAGAGAATTATCCTTTCCATGTAGGACAGAGAGAAAAGATCTTGCTTGCAAACCAAGCCACTCTTAGGCATGGGTGTTAACCATTTTCCTTTCCCCTTCACAGAAGACAGCAAACCTCGACTCAGCAGCAGCCCACCCTCAGCCACCCTGGGCAGCCTCTTGGATGATCAGCACTGGCACTCAGTCCTCATTGAGCGGGTGGGCAAGCTGGTGAACTTCACGGTGGACAAGCACACACAGCACTTCCGAACCAAGGGCGAGGCAGATGCCTTAGACATTGACTATGAGGTGAGTTGACTCTCCCTGCATGTCAATGGACCCATTACTCAGGATCAGTAAGAAAAATATATAAGCAAAAGAGGACTTGAGAGAAGATATGAAGCCCTAGTAATCTTTCCCTGCGGTTATTTTTTCCTGTATGGAAGCCTGAGAGATTATGAGCAGTGAGCTCAGAGAGCTGCCTTGGCAATCCTGGGTGGAGCTCACAGCATCTTCTAGTATGTGCACTTAAAACCAGCAAATTTCCTCTTTACTTCTTACTATTTTTGGCTGGCATTTTCCCTGTGCCACTATCTAGTCTAATGGTTACACTCACTATTTTTTTTTTCTCAAAAATTAACTTCAATTAACTAGGATAGAAAAAGATACTGAAATTACACCCATAAAATGTAAGATGTCAATTATACCTCAATAACAAAAAAAAAAAAAGAAATTACGAACAAAGTCCAAAGGAATTTAAAATCTTCCCTATAGCACTGTCTTTAACTTCATTCATGTGCAAACTTTTAACTAAAATGCATGACTTGCTGTTTTTTCCTCGTTTTATTTTATTTTTTATTTTTTTGTAAAAGAGGCCAGCAGAAATGCACCTACTCTGCAAAACAAAGAACTTGCACCGATTTCTGCAGCCTGAATTTCAAACCTCATGTATATTTTCTTATATTCAGATTAAGAAATTGTACAACTGGTCTTTGAACTACATGGGGGTTAGGGACATTGAGTCACACAAAGTCAAAAATCTGCACTTGACTTTACATTTTCCCCAAACTTACCTATTATTGGCACTATTGGCACTATTATTTTATCAACAATATAAACTGTAAATTAAAATAAAAATACTTTGCATAGTGTACTGTATCAATCTATCAATGTCTATTATTTCTATTTATCATATACTATATTAATAAAGTAACCTAACAAAAAGAAAGATAATAAGAAAGTCATATGGAAGAAAATATATACTAAAATTAAAATATACTGACCAGGAAATATCTATCAACAACCAATAAATTATTTACCTCCTGAAAAATATTTGCATGTTAAGTGAGGACCTGCACAGGTCAAACCCAAGTTGTTCAAAGGTCAACTGTACCATGTCCTAGTACATCCCATGCGCTGCCCTAGGCAGAAATACAGAGATGGCTGATGTGAAGCCCCTGTGGTGGAAACTCACAATCTAATAGCAGAGTCAGGCCCAGAGATAAGCCTCTGCAGGACAAGGAGGTAAAAACTGCAGTGCAGAGAGGGAGGGGACATGGGGGAGAGACTCAACCTGGAAAGTTGGTGGAAGGCTTCTATCTGGAGATGCTGCCAGGACTTGACTAGCCAAATTAGCTGATAACAAGTTCAAGAAGGCATGCCAGGCTAGAGAGCACACTGCATAGGACATGGCATAAAATGGCAAGCAGTTCTGTTTGTGGGGTCCAAACTTCAGGAAGTGACAGTACCAGCTGCATCAGACTCCTGAGGGTCAAATGGTAGATATTAAGGAATTTTGTGAGCTTTTCTGTCAACATAGCCATTACTAAAAATAAGATATATACACTTACAATTCATGAAACTATTTTAGAAGGTACTAAATTCATCTGCCTGTCTGTCTGCCTACCTATCTACCTAGGTATCTACTTGTTCCTACTTGAAAAAAAAAATTTTTTTTTAAAGATTTATTTATTTGTGCATACAGAACTGGGGTACAGGCCAGAGGCTCAGGGGCGGCGAGAGGCCTCACCAGAGACAGAGTGGGGAGCAGAACAGGCAGATCAATGAAGTACACTGCTGAGGGGAGCAGCGGGCGGGTCAGGAGAGGTCTGCCACGCCATGTGGTCACCTCCGGGGCAGGCGGGAATCGAACTCATGCGGAAGCAGCTGTAGATTCTCAGTGCTGTGCTTTAACCCACTGCGCCACCAGGGAGGGCCAGTACTTGAATTTTTTTAATTCTCTTTCATACATGTGGTGTAAATATTCTACATTGGGCAGTTATAGTGCATTTATCCCAATTCCATCTTCAATGATGTTCTTTTGATAGCCTCAAATCCAACAAAGATCAGCAAACTATGGCCTGTAGATCAAGTCTATGTGAAGACTACTAACTCTAATGTGTTAAGAATAAGTTTTACATTTATATAAAAATAGTAAGTAAAAGAATATATGGAGATTTTGTGGTTACAGATAAAAGAGTAGAGTGAAAAATCAACACAAACATTATTTATGAACCAACTTATTATATGAAATTTGCAATATATATCATTGTATATTGTATTAGACAATTAGGTATCAGCAATGATATGCCACTAAAATAAGTTTTTCTTTGTTTACACATATGTGTGCAAGTCTGAGTATGTCTATATGTGTCACCTCTAAGCAGACTGTGAAGCATTTAGAGACAGAGACCAGTGTAAGGTAAAGGAATTGGGGAAGACCCGGGTGATGATGGACCATAGGAGCTTAAACTAAAGCAGATATGGATATACTAAATGACTCTCTGGTGGAAAGTGATATGACCAGCTTGTTTAAGACTAATAATTCTGCTTCTGAGCCCAGGCTGGTTAACATCACCTGAGAATTTATTAAAAGTGAATATAACCAGGCTCACCGATATCCACTGAGTCAAAAACTTTGAGGATCAAGAATTAGCTTTTAGAAACTTCTAGGAAGCTCTGGTGTGCGCTAATGTCTGAGAACCCATAATAATTACTCTGTAACTTAGGTTTGTATGTAGGTGTGGAAGAAGGTGCTATACAGATGGTAGAAAACTGTTAGCAGTTTCAAATCCTGGCTGGGATACATAATGGAAAGTGTTGGTGGAAATGAATAATTGAAAAAAAATAGGTTCTGACTTTTTTCAATCACTACCGTGAGCTGTAAGAATGATACCCTCTTTTGATCCCAACCTTAGTTCCACAAACTCTTGATAAGTTATGCCATTTATTAACTTCAAAAGAGAATCTGTCGCTTTGACTCAGAATGCAAAGTACCAGATAGCATTTTTTTTGAGTAGCTGTTAATTGTGTCTATGAATATCAGTCATTCTCTTTTATCAACTTTAAGTGACTTTTGAGATAAAAAGACTGCATACAATTTGGAATTATCTCCAAGCAAAAACTATCTTTTATGAACTTGAGAATGGAAAAAAAACAAAGTCATCTTAAAGTCTCACAATTTTCCCAGTCATATATCCTCTAGAGTCTTAGAAGATGACTCTAAAACTCACCCAGTTGACTTATTTGACATGCCTTGATGCCAAGCCTATGTCACCCTACCCATGATCTTCTGTGCATAGACTCTCTATACCACATTTGAGTGGATATAGGTGATGTCAACCTTAGGGAAATGAAATCTAATGATGTCCCTCAATTTGTGAAGCTATTACAGAAAATTTTCAGGAAATGCTTGATCTCATGGTGCCTCCTAAAAATGTGTTTCCTAAGAAGGAAACATCTTGAAATATTCCTCTAAAGCAACTTTTCTACAGAAAACTCAAGTTCCTTCCACAGTGTTCAGTCTATTCTAATATAAAAGAAGGCAGGTTTACTGGACTATGATAGTGGCATGAGATATTACTTTTATTGGCACATGCACATTGAATGTCAGAAGAAATCTCTGGAACAATGGAGTTCTCCAGTCTTTGAAGTGACCTTAAATGCTGTGTGGACAAGGAAGAACACTGAGGCAAGAGTCCCATGTCACAATCTCTACTTCACCATTATCCTGGAAAACTTTTTAATTTCAGTTCCACAAAAGCAATATCCTTGCTGGAAGCAATAGAGCTAACTTCTGAAGTTTATAGAAAACAATGTTTTCTCTTCATTAAAATATGGGTTATATATTTGTTTACTGTTATGGAATCATACATTCACATGTGAGTCCTGATATTTATCACCCACTAGAAGGGTGATTGAATCCAGGACCTTCAATTTCATTTAGAGAATTTACTGATCCTCTAGAGCTGGCCCTTATAAAATATTACAACAGGGTTGATATGGTATGAAAATTGATATTCCTTTACTAATGTTGGCATTGTGAAGCAAAATAAGTCAGAAGGAAATGAGAAATGTTGAATAGTTTCACTTATATGTGGGAGGTACACAAACCAAACAAAGGGTCCAGAAAGGACAAAGCATTCAAGCTGACCATAGATCTGAGGCATACAGTAGAAGAGAGAGCAGTCAAAAAAGGGGAGAGAAGAGCACAAGGGACTAAAGTGATGGTTCACAGGTGCTGAGGTGGTGGGAGAACTATGGGCTACACTTGAGACAAGAAACCGATTACTGTACAAAAATGAATAAAAATGTATGAAAATAAATAAATTTAGAGGAAAAAAACAATAAATGTCAGCATTATGTGGTGCCATTTGGTAAGAAGTTATGTGAACTTTTATCTTCCCATTTTATTTTACCTTAAGAATATCAATCAAGTGGCATAATGTCTTTAAGTGAGACATCTGGTTGGAAATTGGCCATGCTCAGATGTATGAAGTGTTCTGCTTTTCCTTCTACCTAGAAACACACACACACAAACACACACACATACGCAAGGAAGGGCATTTTCTCTCTTTTTTTCCCCATCATAAAAACAGAAAAAATTGCAGATTTCATTGGAATGTCATCTCAGTTCACATCACTCAGACCATATGATTTTCTTCAAATGTTTGTGAGAAAGACAGTCTAGCAAGCTACTTTACTTCCCACCTTGTGCAGAAGGGCTTTACACAAGGGATTTTTTTAGGTTCTGAGTAGCATCCCATTTCCCTGAAAATTTTGTGACCTGAGAAGTCTTCGCTTATCAAGAGCTCTCATCAATTCTCCTTTACATAGCCAACTTGTTTGAACCAAAACTATTAATAGTATATTTAAAAGTATATGATTTATACATTATGTCATGAATATATGAGGATTTTATAAGGTAAAACAATATATTTTAAAGAGAATTTCTAGTAAAAACTGATTAACTACTTTTTAGAATTTTTTAATTGAAGTAACATTACATTATAACAATAGATAATTTTAGG